TTGAATCTAGAGTATTTTTAAGCATATTTAGCAAATATTTCCATTTTGGTTATTGAAACAGGAAAACAAGCCTGAAATATATGTAAAAGTCATATTTAAAACTTTTAAAAGTACTAATTACCTTAGAAAGTGTGATAAGTGCTATCACTTTTTATTTTTTATGAAAAGTAATTTAGATATACACTTTATATCAAATTCAATCATAAGAGATGCCTTTTTTGTTTGGGTGAAACAAAAAAGAAAGACAGACAGACTCAATATCTCATTGCCTTAGAAAATTGTTAGGCTGAGCAAATGGCAGTGCAGAGTTTTATAGAAATGTTCTGGCAAATACCACTCAGAGTTACTGGAGATTGAACTCAGGGGCACTTAATCACTGAGTTACAACCAACCCCATTTTTGTATTTTATATAGAGTTAGGGTCTCACTGAGTTGCTCAGTGCCTTGTAATTCCTGAGGCTGACATTGAAATTGTGATCCTCCTATCTCAGCCTCCTGAGCCACTGGGATTAAAGGCATGTTCCACCATGGCTAGCTGTGTAAGATATTATAAATCAGTATATGCATGACATTTTTTTTACAAGTTTATGTGTTACTCAAAGACGTATAGCTTTTTGTTTCTAATGAAATTCTACTTTTAATTGAAGATGGAAAGACAGTCCTGCATTGCTCCTGCCCATATTGTTGACAGGAAAAATCATGTGTCATCAGATGTGTTCTGTACCATCAGAGGTGCTTTTTAGCCTGAAAGATGTTGGTAACCACTCTGGACAGTACAAAAATTTAAGTTCTGAGTAAGGGGTACTGAATGGTTACTGCACCCCACAATATATTTGAATTTTACCCTCACTCGAAAAAATGAGGTGTGGTTCCAATTTTGGGAATCACTCAGTGAGGTTGAGTTACACACTCCTGTTCCTTAGGAATCCTATCCCTTTTCACTTTTTGGGATAAAATATTCCATGGAACTTCCCCCTTGTGTGTCCCCTATATAAGAATAAAAAATTCCAGTGGCTCTCACTCTTTCCATGGAAACTAAAGGTTGGAGAGCCATCCCAAAGTGTATAACAGTACTTTTTTGTCTTATGTGCTTCTTTTACCATTTTCTTACTTTTTGAAATAGAGTTGTGAACACAGCATACGTCAACCAGCTCCATTGGATGGCAATAGGAATATTTGTCTGGCAGCCTCATACACATTGAAACATTGCATCAGCTTTAAATTTCCTCAGTCAGTTCACAGACACACCAGGAGTGAGAGATTTTTATCAAGGGAGAGGAACCTCTTCTCCACTCCTACTACTTGTTAATGTTATCTCATGTTGACCTTTTATGCTTACATGTAATTTTTTTTTCAGTTTGAAGAGAAACAGTAAGTCTTATTTTCCAACTTGAAAAATTACTTAAATAGCCTACTAATAGTTTTAGTGGCTATTATATATTGAGGACCTCTTGAAACATATCTTTTTTAATTCCTCCAATTGGATTCTGAGGCAAGTATAATTAGTTTCCCTTACAATCCTCACAACTGCAGATTAGAGCTGATAACTTACCCAAGGGCACAAATGATGAGCTAGGATTCCAACCCTGGTCTACACACCATGCTCTCTTCTGCATCAGCCTAATTCTTCTTTACAATTTACTCGCTAAACTTTTTTCATGCTCTTGATAATTTTTTCTCATTGTTTTCTTTTTCTTCTTTTGTGTAGAAGATTGACTTTCAATTTGAAAAAAAATAATTTCCAGTTTTGGCTAAAGATGGAAAGGCATTTTACTTTTACTGCTGCCCAAATGGTTTGCAGGCAAAAATCAGATGGCTTCAGCTGTGTTCTGCACCACCAGATGTTTCTTTAAAAAATCTGAAACATTTGACCAAAAGTTCATTGTGCAAAATAAAACATTTTTATGCTTGTTATGTAGATTATATTTAGACTAACCTCAGTTTGTGTAGCAGTGTCAGTTATTGCTATAATTCAAAACTAGAATCAATAATATTTTTTGATATGGTAATGGCAAGCAGCCATGGATAACACTTAGGATTTCTGGCCTGATCAACCGATAGGATAGATCTTTTCCTGAAATGATGAGACCCTTTTTATATTTATTTATTTACTTACTTACTTACTTATTTTGAGATGCAAGAGTGTGTGTGTGTGTGTGTGTGTGTGTGTGTGTGTTGATGGTTGTGTATGCAGTTTATTTTGGACATTTGAAATTTGAAATATATATTGCTTAGTGAATGTTTAGAGAATTGTATGTATTGAATCCAAAGCAAGCAAAGGTATCTAGGTTAATTTTGTCATGTTAATAAAATTTAAAGTTTTTTTTTTTTAAAAAACCTTTAAAACATGTGAGGCAATAGGTCCAGCTCAGGGACTCCCATTGCATCAGGCGTGCTCTTATCTAGGAGTCACAGTGTTGGGTTTGGTTATATTTTGTAAAAATAATTTTTTGGAGTATATAGGGAGTTGTATAACTGAACAACAGAAGAGGACTCAGCAGTTGTAAAGGTTGCTCTTTTGTTAAGTGAGCGAGTAAACAGTGAAATGGTTTCCCAAAAACATAAGTGCCTAATGTCTGAAAATTGTGAACATGTTAGGTTACATGGAACAGGGGAATTAAAGTTGAAGAAGCAGTGATAAAATGACAAGGATGGAAAGAAGGAATAATAGAAAAAGGGAGTCTTCAAGTTAGTGTGGCAAGATTTAGTATGTCTTACCCTATATCAGACACACACTCAAATGCTGGAATCTCTTAGTCTTAACATCTTGATCAAAGGCTTTAGCCCTGAGAGTCACATTTCAATGTATGTTATGTATACACAAAGAGGGAGAGGTCTAATTCTCTCAAGGTTCCTCTTCTCCCTCTGGAAAGGGAAAGGCTTAGCATTTCTTATGTAGTTCATGTAGGAGAGGTAGTAACTGAATCCTCATACCCACCTTATAGCTGTTCTCATTTGCATTCTTGGGCTCTTACAACATTACTGTCCTAAGATTATGATTTTCATTAAAACTCTGGGGTAAGAGAAGAATCTTTTATTCTTTTTAAATATCCTGGTTATTTTATATTGGAATAACTCTGTTTAAATCTATAAGTGTTTTCTAGTTTTTGTTTGTTTGCCTCGCTCACCTCTCATGGTACTGAAATTGAACCCAGGGAATTCTATATCTACATCCCTGATTTTTTTTTATTTTGAGAAAGAGTCTTACTAAGTTGCAGAGGCTGGCCTCAATTTTGTGATTCTTGTGCCTTTGCCTCCTGAGTCACTGGGTTTAGAAATGTGTGACACCACATCTGGCACAGATTTCCTAATCTTACCTAGCCCATAAGCCTAGGTTTTGACCCTCTAAAACATCTTTCTTTTTATAACTATATTTGGCCTGCTGATGTGTACAGCAGATATAAAGAATTGGTGCAGCCATTTGAATGAATGAAAGGATGTGAAGGAAAGTCAGGTACTGTCTGTAAACTTCATCAGAAGAAGCAAAACTAAAAGAGTAACCAACCTCAAGACAAAAAGTGTTTAGAGCAGAAAAATATCCTGAATGAGCAAATGATATTTAGAAAAAAAATGAGAATAAGATATAAAAAATGAGAATAAGTTTTAGGTAATCATGGATTATATTTTTCTGAGAATATAAAGAATGCATGTTTATTTCCTTGATTTACTAAAATCAAATAGTTAATTTTCTATCATTGCATTTGCATGTTGGCTCCTAGTCTCTTGGGTCTTTCTCCTCTCCCTGACTGGGAGCTTGTATAACTCTCCGGAGTTGTAGATCCCTTAGGGTGTACTGCTACTCTATAAGGTGAAATGTTAAACTCATAATTCAAACTACGGATATCTGGGCATTATTTTAGTATCCCTAGGTCCTTCCTATAACTCTCTTAATTTTCCCATAATTACAAACAAGAGAGTATATAATTTACATAAATAATATTCTCCAAATAATACTTGATTAAACATATGAAATAATTAATGAAGACATTATAGCATTATTTACCCAATAGAATGTTTTACTATTGCATCGATCCATTAGCAAAGTGAATAGTGGGAGATGTGTGACCTAATAACATCATTAAATGCATGACAAGGTTAACATTAAGAAATTCACACTTTATTTAGCAACAAATTGCATCTGTAATGAAATATAAGTAAAAACGCAGGGTGGACCATGCTGTGACCCTAGGGACATAAGAAGCTTTGCAAGTTCAAAGTCAGTCTCCATAACTTAAGGGGCACTGAAAATTTTAAATTTTAAATTTCATATAAATCTTAAGAGACTTCTGAAATAATCAACTCTGAGTATTATTATTTCTCCAGTTGTGAAAAATGAGACTCTTAAGTAATTGTTGATTTATACTAAAATTATATCCTTTTAGGGATGCACAATTCTATACTTGTATTTCCTTATTTCTACAATATCAGCTAAAGATGTTAAGAAAATTTTCAGCAAATGTCAAAAGCAATTACCCATTTTCTACATTTAAATGATTTTTTTCCACCTAGGTCCCAAATACTTCAAGAGATGGGCTATACATAAGAAACTTACTACAATCTTTATATTTGTCAAGGTGTTTTTGTAAATATTTTGCTGTTATCTAAGGTACACACTTTGGACAAATGCTACTCCACATTTGCTACAGATATGAGGTCAGAAATTTTAAAATGTCGGAAATTTGAATACAGTCTTGGACACATTCTTTGGGTTTCTATATGCTAAAAATCCTCCAGTGTTTTAAAAATGTTTGATCAATGGCCAAAAGCTTTGCAAAATTTTTTCCACATGTCCTCTCACTCGTATGAATTCTGAGGTGCTGAGTAGGGTGTGAACAACTATTGGAGACTCTGTCACCTATTTTACATTCATATAATTTCTGTGCTATCATATGTCTGGTGTGAAATAGTGTTGAACTACTGTGAAATAAGGGTTGATTCATCCTTAAAGACACTGATGCAATGTTTTCATTGTAAAACTTCTCTCCAGTGTAAAATCTATAATGTTTAGTAAGATGTGATCTTCAATATTAAAAGCTTTGCCATTCTTCACATTTTTAGGACTTCTCTCTAGTATGGATTCTCTGGTGTCGAGTAAGTGATGATTGTTGATTAAAATCTTTGCCACATTCTCTACATTTGTAGGGCTTCTCTCCAGTGTGGATTCTCAGGTGCTGAGTAAGTACTATTTTTTGATTAAAACTTTTGCCACATTCTTTACATTTGTAGGGCTTCTCTCCAGTGTGGATTCGCTGGTGCTGAGTAAGTGATGATTTTTGACTGAAACTCTTGCCACACACTTTACATTTGTAGGGCTTCTCTCCAGTATGAATCCTGTTGTGGCAAGAGAGATGTGAGTTTTTATTAAAACTCTTGCCACACACTTTACATTTGTAGGGCTTCTCTCCAGTATGAATCCTTTTGTGACAATTATGCTGTGAGAGGCTATTGAAAGCTTTGCCACACTCTTTACATTTATAGGGCTTCTCTCCAGTGTGGATTCGCTGGTGCTCAGTAAGTGATGATTTTTGACTGAAACTCTTGCCACACACTTTACATTTGTAGGGCTTCTCTCCAGTATGAATCCTGTTGTGGCGATCAAGATTTGAGTTTCTATTAAAACTCATGCCACACACTTTACATTTGTATGGCTTCTCTCTAGTATGAATTCTCTGGTAATTTTTAAGGCTTGGTTTTTGACTGAAACCTTTGCAAAATTGTTTACATATGTAGGGCATCACTCCAGAGTGTGTCCATTGGTGACAAATAAGATTTGAGCTTTTATTAGAAGTTTTGTCACATTCTTTGCATTTGCATGGCATATCTTCTGTATGAACACTGTGATGTTGAGTAAAGTTCTTTAGTGCATTGCATTCTTCACATTGGTAGGTCTTCTCTGCAGAATAAATTTTTTGGTGTTGAGTAAGGGTTGAAAAACTTTTTAAGGCTTTCCCACACTTTTTACATTTACAGGTCTCTCCTTCAGTATAAATCCTCTGATACTTAACAAGTTGTAACTTTTCACTAAAAGTTTTTTCACATTCTTTAAATTTGTAGAATTTATCACTGTCATAGTATCTGCTGTGTTTAAAAAACATATCAAAGCATTTGCTTGCTCAATATCTTCTATACTTATAGGGCTGTCTTTCTCTATAAATTCTCTTGTATTAAGAAAGCTCTGCACTGTGGTTAAGAGCCCTTTCATATATCTACACTTGCAGGTTTTTGTCTTGGCTATGAATATTTTAATGAATACTAATTTTTTATCACTGAAGCAAGACTTTCCTACATTTTTCATCTTGGTAAATTTCCTTTAGAAAAGGACTAGGAGTTCTCTATAGTCATAATTGTTATCACCAATGTAAATATACTGGTCATTACTCAGGGTAGAGACATGGCTTATTGTGTTACTTATAGCATTATCTATATAGTGCACTTTCCAGAAATCTGTATCAGAATTGTCAATGAACAATAGTGGGGAAGTAGAAACTTTTCTACAATTTTTAATATTGTCCATTTGGGAGCAAGGAGAAATTAATATTTTGTTTCAGAAAAATGGACATTTTATAAAGAAACTCCCAAAAGGTTCACTTTTAGAAATATCTTTTCTGTGCAAATGTTTGACTGGAATTTTAACTCAGTGCTACTTTTATAATTGGCCAAGTTAAAAACTGATGCATGGACTAGATTTCAAATTTTCCACATTGCCTTTCAGTTAAAAAATGGCTATGGATTTATTCTTAAAATACATATAAAACTCCTCAAAATAATTGGAATACATTGAATTTTTGTTTCAGATATTAATTTTCTCTGGTGTCTTTTGACCATAAAATTTTTATCATAAATAGGGACTACTGATTGATTTTGTCTATTATAATACAATTTTTGAACTTTACTCTCACCTATTTTTTCCCATTGTTTTCTTGGTTGTAAATAGTCAAAGTCACACTTTCCATATCTTCCCTCTCTCTCTTTTATTCCCTGCTCTGGTAAAATTTCTCGAGGATGATGAGAAGTCATGGCTGTAATAAATAAAAATAACAAACATGTTTACTTACTGTACTGGGCTGAGTATATTTTGCAGACCTAAGAAATTACACCAAAAAATAACATCAGCAGGGGAGTGGATTATTAAATCCAAGTCTATCATTACTGTAGAAATATATAAATCAAATAAAAATACACACAGAAAATTACTTTGAAAATTTTCCTAATCATCTTTGTGTTCACAGTATCCAAGATGAGTACATTACTATGGAGAGTAACATAGTAGAGAAAAATACATTGTGTTACACAAAGATTTTCCTCCTTCAGAATATATTTTCAAAATCTACCAACTTTCTTCTGTTTCATTAAAATATAAAAATATGAAACATGTGAATATTTGGGGACTGTTCAAAAAGGGGTTCCTGCTTACCAACAGAAAAAAACATGGCTAAATCAACTGTAAGCAAAGTTTTGAATTACTCAAAGGGAATAGTCAATTATCATTTAAAAGAAGTTTACTGAAATAAACCAACACACAAAAAACAGAATAAAAATTAATCAAGAATTGTTACTAGTAATAAGCAGAAAATGTATGTTTAAAGACTTTCTTTAGAAAATGTCTGAAATAGTCAGGGGTGGTTGTACATAGCAACATAGGAGGTTGAGCTAGAGGATCAAAATTTGAAGGCCAGACAAAGTAAAAAATGCAAAGTGCTAAATCGCCCCTAAGTTCTCTTTCCAGTACTAATAAACACATCTCAGAAAATAGGAAAAATGAAACATCCAAGCAGCTCAGTTTTCTCCAAGTTGTAAAGACTCAAAGTAGGTTTTAATCCAAGTTTAAAAACTCAGGATACTGAGAGCATCCAAGAGAAAAAGATGGGTCACCTAGAAATGTGTAACTATATAATTGTGAAATCCTTAGTCAAATCTTCACAACACAGGAAGGAATTTGAGTCTATCTATATTCAAGGGATGAAAGAATAAAATTATCAACCAAGACATTATATTCACAGCTACTACCTTTCAAAAGAGAAGGAAAATGAAGACTTTAAACATATAAAAATACACACACTATTCATCAACACTGGATCTGTTCTCCAAAAAGTACTAAAGGTGATCCTTCATAATAAAATGTAAGTGCACAACATCACAAGTCATATGAAATTTTAAACATTTCTTGGCAAAAACAATTCTATTTTATTGCAATGACGGGTCTCCAAACATGTAATTTTGCAATAGAATTTGAAAGAAAAAAGCATAACAATACTGTCAATAGGCATATATACCTGTAACAATAATATAATTTTAAAAGGACACATAAATATATTCAGTTTTTAAATAAAGTGAAGTCAAGTTGGTACTCATACAAAGTATGAGTAGGAGATTCTTCATTTTTAGAGTTTTTTGTTGGCAAATGCAAGATTACAAAATTCTGATCAAAACAAAACTTGGATATCTGAATTAACTCTAAATATTGCAACTGTAGGTAGTCTACAGGATACTCTAAATCTAAGAACACACACATACTGAAAGCAAAAGGATATAATAATGACACAAAAGTGATCGAACAAAACCTGGGCTGTCTAAATTATAGACAGTTATAGGACATAGAAGACGTTTTAAATTAAAAAAAAAAAAAAACTTTGAAAAGAGGCAAAAGAGAGAAAAGGACCCTTTCCCTAGGTTCTGAATTAAGAGTAAATACATTTGCTGCGTACTTCATACTTCCCAAACACACAAAGAAAACACTGAGAGGGTTGAATGAAAACAAAGAATCACTGTGATACTAAGAGACATCAATCCCCACTTACTGAAAAGGGAAATACAGTGAAGCAAAATGGTAATTGCAAAGCATAAGACTTTGAAAATATTTTGAAACTACTATAGACTTATAGAATCCCTGTTCTTAATCACAAGTGGGATATTATGCTGGTTAGATCAATTTTATATATTAAAACAAAGGTTAATAAATATTTAAGTGATAGTTTTTTTGTAACCAACATGGAATAAATATTTGAAGTCAAAAGTGGTAGGGATTTTCAAAAATCCCTAAATATGTGTCAGTTGATTGAACACTCTTTTGCATGCTGTTGTTCAAAATTGAAAGATTAAATTTAAAGATGTCTATGCTACTTAAAGTTAACTAGAGGCTCCATGTAGTATTCATCAACCTCCCATAGTTATTTTTTTTTGCAGAGAAATCTATCCTTTAAATTGTATGAATATCCCCCAAAATACAAATAAGACTATTTCCCTGCTTAAAAATATACTAAAAGTTACAGCATTCAATTGTAAATGCAGACATGGAGTTAGGTAGATGGACTTCTTAGTGAGTGTGGCAATAACCTTCACATCAATAGCAAATTAAAAACATTGCACACCAGTGTTGTTACAATGTTATTCAACAGAGCCATCATAGGGTATGCAACCCAAATATCCCTTGAAAAGAATGATGAGCCAATTTGGAATATGGAAACTAGAACTTTGAAGTCAAAGAATTGATTCTAATTATATATTTTACAAAATCTATGTACACTAGGTTAACTGAAATGTCACAGAAAGAATACTGCAGAATTCTAGGAACATGACATCTCTAAACTAAAGAAGCAGCTTTCTGAACAAAAGAGAATTGTTTTGTGATGGGGAGACCGAAATGAGCACTTGCTTCCTAGGAATTGATTTTTTTTTTGAGATGTAAACTTTTTAGAGATACATTGCATAACAATTTGAATTAATGATACTGAACTGTATATTTAAGATTTTGGAGACAGTAAGTTTTATTTTGTGGTTTTGATTACAATGAAAATTAAAAGATAAAGAGAATTGCAACATTTCTCAAAGCTACATTTCAAATAATGTGGTCTTTATCCTATAAATAAGAACAAGCTCATCCATATACAAACAATGGGCATGCATGTAATCTCAGCTAGTAGGAAGTCTGAGGCAAGTGAATTGCAAATTCAAGACATCCTCAATAACTTAGTGAGAACCTCTCCAAATATGAGTGAAAAGGAGCTTGGGGTGTAGTTCAGCATGAGAGTATCACTGCCATCAATCCCCATTACACTTATACATAGAAAACTTCAATTTCTACATACATGGGCAGAATGAAAAGCCAATCAAGATAAAATACAAAAGTCATGGACAAAAGAGGCTTAATATTTATACAAGCAAAAGCACATATAATATTTTTGGCAATACAAACAAGAATCATACATATCTTAGTTTGTGAAGCAATTAACTGATATGAGGAAACCCAGTCTGTAACATGGAACCTACTGTACACAATTTAAAAAAGAAAAACAAACAACCAAATTGTAAATATCCACAGATGTATTATTTTACAAATCCTCTAACTCAAATAAAACTTACACAATCTCTCAAAACAGCAGTCTTTGTTCAACTTGACATTCATTCCATGGCAGATAATTTCACAGAAAATACATTACACATATCAGAAAGAACACTGATAAGGAAACTTTAGTGAAAAAAATGTACAAATAAGATTAGAGAAATTGACTTATGATAGTAATGTATTACAATGGGTGGACCTAGAGGTCTCCAGAAATGTGCAAAACTTTCCTGCAAATAATGGAAGGAGGGCTGGAGTTCTAGAGTAGTGTTACAGAGCTTGTCTAGCATGTGTGAGGCCCTGGGTTCAATTCTCAGCACCATATATGGATAAATAGGAAATTCATTAACAACTAAAAATATTTTTTTAATTATGGAAGATCTGTCAGGTAATATTGACACTCACAAGGCAAGGGGAGTGTTTTGTTGTTAATTTGAATGTATGGAGACATTACTGGAAGAAAAGCAGGATACTACATAATTTTAAAGCACAAAACACAGGACAGGTTTTTCTATGATAACAAGAGAAAGAATTCAAAGCTTCTCAAAAATATTTTCTGCTGGATAATGTCTCAATGAACCTTTTTGAATTTAGACTTCCTCCTCTACCTCAACTATGTCCTCTACTATATGTGGGCCACAGGATTTGACATCACTGCATTCCTCTAAGACAACCATATGTCAAGTGAAAGATATATATCATGCCACCAAAGGAAAACATTAAGGATGAAAGGAAACATCATTAACATTTTCTTGT